TTCAGTCGGTCAACTAGGCTGAGTGCCCCTTCGACGAATTGGGTTCGCGGACCGCGGACCGCTGCTCCTGCATTTTCGGGCTCCCCACGCGCCACACCCGGCGCCACGAAGGCGCAGGCGGTGCCGAAGAGAGCAAAGAGCACTGCGAGGCCTTGGGGCGAACGGAACGGATGGACACGGAAAGGACGCCAGAAACATCCTGAGGACACCGCATGGAACAAGGGGCGCTGAGTTTGGACGATCGTGGAAACGATGGATTGGTGTCGAAATTAGCCTCTTATAGGTGATTCGGGATGACCTGTTGGAAGGTCGTGGTGACACAAGTGTGGTGCCGTAGCTCGGGAAGCTCGGGACGCTCGTCACGACTTCTGGACTTGGAGAGAGCATGTTTTATTTTTGTTCAAGTCATTCCCCAAATAGTGCTCCGCACTAAGGGGTTCTTACGGTAAGAGTTAAGCGGGTTTAGATCAGGGTTCGCGCGTGTTGGCGCGGCATGTTGCGTGGGCCGGCTCGCACAGAAGTTACTTTTAGAATTCCTAGTCCATTTCGACTGCGCAGGCTCGCATAAAGTGGTGGCCGCGCCTTTCGCGCTTCCGGGACAAAGCTCTCGTGCAGGTGCCGTGCTCGTTTTCGGACATGAAGTGCATTTTGCGTGGCAGGCGCAAGGAATTCGACACATTGGAGCCTCTAAAAGGTCATTTTACGTGGCAGGTGCAAGGAATCGGAGACTTTGCAAATTTCGTGGCAGGCGCAGTGTTTTGTGGACGTTGCAAAAACGTTGGCAGGCGTGTGTCATTCGCAGGATTGCGTTTCACGTGGCAGGCGCAGGGAATCCGCACCATGGATGCGATATTTTGAGGTGAAACGGCTGAATTCGTGAGAGGGGTCGCATTTTTGGAATTTGAACTTGAGGATGCTTTTGCGTGGCCAGTGCAGCATTTCGAATGACCTGCAGGCATGATTTCGTGGCAGGCGCAGCATTTCTGAAACGCATTTGAAAATTTGCGAAAGCCTCGTGCAATTTGCTCATTTTGGATCTCCGATGTGCAGATTTCGTGGCAGGCGCAGCGATGCGCAGATTTCGTGGCAGGCGCAGCACTTTGTGAATGTCGATGTGCAGATTGCGTGGCAGGCGCAGCACTTTGTGAATCTCGATGTGCAGATTTCGTGG